GTAAGCTTGAAAAATAATTTTCGTTTAGATCATATGGGAAGGGAGATGAAAAATTACTAGTTGCAATATAAATTGAGCATAATTTAGTTTAGTTTACACTGGGTTTAAGATTATTTATAAATATTAAAAGGTGTTGACTGAAATAATAATTGACTCTCCATGCATAAGAGATTTTCCATGTTCAGGATTTGACCACCACCTGGTGGCACTGGCAGATAGGATTTTAAAGTCACAACAGAAATAGTTCTAAATAGCCTAATAAAATACATTTCATCACAAATTATAACACCGTATAATCTGACAAACTGTATTAACATATAGCATTTTTCTCCTATTTAGTAAAATATTTTTCATCACATAGCTATTATATTATAGCTAAGCTTAATAATTTAAGTAAAAAGTTTAATTGAATATTAAATAGGCCTATACATTTTTAACCTGTCATTTGCTTTAATGACAGAAGCTAACTATCATGTTATCCAGCATAATTTGAGAATGGTTCAAAGAATCTTGTACTTCAATAATAAAAAAAACAATACTTTAGAGGATTTCGCATGCTTATTTTTTGCTTAGTGACCTAGATATAGTGACCCATTCTAAATATTTCTTCATTTTACAACATAACTTTGGTTTAAATTAAATTATTTTTAGGTTTAAAAAAAAAAAAAAAGATTCAGGCAAGAATCAGGCTTTTGGACCCCACAAGTTAAACAAATGAAGGGACTCTTTCAAATTCCCCAAATGAAATATATTCAGTGAGACATGTTGTTTTATAACATTTAATATAAATTTAGATTTTTTTTCACAACTGTAGGCTATGTCATTAGTATGTGTTCTTGTTTAACCTAAATCTGATAAAATTGATTTTTATCAAGGTGGCAACTACTACTAATAATAATAGATTTTATTTCATAGAGAGCCTTTAAAAGCAGCTTCAAATCGCTGTGCACAAAATAAGCATCAACAAGCAAAATGCTAGTTTTAAAAAAATATGTCTTGAGTTGAGCTTTAAATATGTCATAGGTCTGAGCTTCCTGAGTTCAAGAGGAAGAGAGTTCCAAGGGTAGGAGCTTAGACAGAAAAAGCCCTGTCACCCATAGATCTTAAGCGGGTTTGTGAAACAGTCAACAAATTAGACTGTGAGGAGTGTAGTCTGCGATTTGGGGTGTAAGGGATTTGCATTGCAAATAATGAGGAGCCAAGCCATGTAATGCTTTGTATGTCAGCTCAGCATCATAATTTTAAAATCGACAAAGAACCCGACCGGGAGCCTGTGCAAGGACTCCAAAACAGGAGTAATATGATTGCATGCATGTCCTGGTCCCAGTCGGGATCTTGGCGGCAGAGTTTTGTACATATTGGAGATTATTAAGTGTGTATTTAGAGACTCTGGCTTAAAGGGCATTACAGTAATCTATCCGAGAGACAACAAATAATTTCATCAGCTTTTCAGCTACAGAGAAATTTAGGGTGCAATCTTGCTAGATTTCTGAGGTGAATAAAGAATCCTTTTTACGTATAATTACGTATAAATTCATACAATGTGAATCATACGGAAATGTACGATTTTTTGAAAAAAGCATGATGGTCCTCCCCTAACCCAACCCTTAAAACTAACAGTGACTGGGGCGCGTACCGTATGAAAACATACCAATGAGATCAGATTAACTCATACGTTAAAGTTCAAGTTCATTTTATTTTTATATTTAAAAAGGAACACTATTAAAAAGGAATCTTGCAGCAGTATTTTGCACTAATTGAAGACGAGTAATTTGAGACTTTGAAATGCCGCAGTAAAGTGAATTGCAGTAGTCTAAACGTGAGGTGATAAAAGCATGAACAGCCATCTCTAGAGTTTTATGATTAAGAAAAGGTTTGACTTTAGACAGAAGACGAAGTTGATAAAAACTAGAGCCTATTACAGAGGAAATTTGTTTGTCAAAGTTTAAAGACTCATCTAGTAAAACGGTCAGGTTCCGTACACGTGAAGATCTAAAAGCAGAATCAGCCTGAGAATTAACAGTGGGCCCAAAAACGATCCTCGGTTTTGTTTTCATTTAAAAATAAAAAAAATTGGTCCAGCCAAGATTTAACTTCATCTAGGCAACTTAGTAATGATGAAAAAGCAAAAGGATCCTTTCTCTTAATTGGTAAATACATTTGTGTATCGTCCGCATAACAGTTAAAAGATACCCCATGTCTTTTTAGAATGGTGCCCAATGTAACATATGCAGAGAAAAGAGAGAAGGCGCCAAGATAGATCCTTGAGGAAGACCACAGGTTAGATGCGCAACAGAAATTGCCTAACTTGACAAGGAAATTCCGATCAGAGAGATAGGACTGGAACCACTGGAGGACGATACCTTTTATCCCCAGATAATACTGGATATCAGGGTAGAGTGGTCAACAGTGTCAAAGGCTGCTGATAGATCTAGAGTACAAGAACCACGGAGTCACCAGTGTCCGTGGATAGATAGATGTCATTTAAAACTCTCAAGAGGGCAGAATCAGTACTGTGACCAGACTTAAAACCAGATTGAAATCTTTCAGAAATTCCATTGCACTTTAGAAAAAACTGGAGTTGGTCAAAAATAATTTTTTTCAACACCTGCGAAACAAAAAGTTGTACAGACTGTGACAACGATGTCCTAAAGTCTCCGTGTCTCTACAATAAAGTCATTAAAGTCTCTGTGTAAACTACACTAACGTGAATTTGTGAAAACTGTGACATCATGCACATGCGTATTATGTGTTCAGTCAAGTCAAGTCACCTTTATTTATATAGCGCTTTTTACAATACAGATTGTATCAAAGCAGCTTCACAGTGATAACATGAAAATAATACAACGAAGTTTGTTTCTAGAAGAAAATTGCATCAACGTCCACCTTAAGTAAGGCAGATCAATAATATTGTTGAATATTAAATGCCCCCAACTAAGCAAGCCAAAAGCCAAGGCAACAGTGGCAAGGAACCAAAACTCCATCCAGTCTATAAAATATTTTCACTGTTTTTTGTCATTTTCGTGGATCCATGTGAACTGGGAACATTCTGACAATGGTGTTGTGTACGCAAAAGAACGCAAAGGAAAAATATTGCCATTTTTAGGACGTCACAATACAGACGAATATATCTGTCGCTTCTTCTGTTTCATCGTGACTTTAAGTTATCCATAACTACAATGTAACTTTCACAAACTTTCACAGCTTAAATGTGACTTTTCACAGCTGTCACCATATTACAAAGACATAATGAACAACAAGAAACGATACAAAGGTGTTAGCTATATGCTAAGCTAAGCTGTTGAGCTTAAGCACAGCTGTAGGGTCTCACATGAAAGGCAGAGTAAATGGAATTAAGTTATTTTAAATTGGCTGGTGACATGAAAGCTGATAGAAAATAATTTATGGTTGAAGAGGTCATTTGTTGTTTTTCAGTTTAAAAAAAGAACATGGAGCGTGTGAAGTTGAGGGAACATCACTATGATCTGAATCTCAGTCATTCAGACATGCACGCACACACTGATTTTGGGAAGTGGAAGCACATGAGTGACAGGTGGTCAGAAGACAGTGACATGAACACCTGTCTATCTCTTTTTCTATCTCGTTGTCTTGTTTATCAAGTCAATAGACAGTCGCAGAGAGTCCGTAGACACATTGCGGTTGGCTCACTGACACAGGAAATGGTTACTATGACAACTTAGATTTACATCCTGCCTAAATGCAGGTTTATGAAGGAAGCTTCACAATCTATATCTCAGACAATCCATCATTACGAGTCAATATTCAAAAACAATCAGTCCATTGTAATAAACCACCATTGTTTATCACTACAATAAAGACACCTTATAGGCTACTCTTATTTCACAAACCTGTTTTGATTTGTACTGGGTTTTAGCTTTATTACAGACAGACAGCTAAATGAATATGTGCTACTGGCCATCATGTTACAACACATTTGGAACAAGAATCAGTCTCTCTCGTAAACCCACATACATACACATGAAGCGCTTTTTATAAGGTTAGCCACATGTGCTAACCTTTATGTGAAGAATACACTATTCCTCTGTCTTACATTTCCTTATAACCTAGTGAAATTTGTACCTTTTCATTTACCTTTATGATTAAGGTTGCTTGTTAAGGCAAGAATCACAATTATTATTGCTCATACTTTGAGTTAATGTTAAACCTCCGTTTTACGGCAGTGTGAACATGAGAGTTATTTTTCATAAAATTCTAAATGCAACGACCAACTTTTTTGTTGGTGTTTGTCTGTGTGGTGTGAATTGGCCTCAAGACTTAAAAGGACATAAAAGTCTGTTGAAAAAATATTCTGTTTGTCCATAAAATAGAATTCAATAGATCAAAACGTTCTTCAAGATATCTTTCTTTTGTGTTCCACAGAAGATAGAAAGTCATTCAGGTCTGAAACCACATAAGGGTGAGTAAATTTTCATTTTCGGGTGGATTATCCCTTTAAGATTGGGGTGGGCCAATAAGAAGTCACCTAGCAACCACTAAAACACCTTAGCAACCGCATATTAATAGCACGGCATCGACCCACCATGTGACGGAATGTTATGCATGGGCTCCACTCTGGTAAAAAATAAAAATAAAATTAGTTGTTCTCTCTGATTGTCATTGTGTTGTTATGGTACTATATCTTATTTACACAAAACTCATACTTGCACAAATGCACACACCCATTAGGAGGGAGGATTGACATTTAAACCTCTGAGCTTTCCCTCATCAAAAGAGATTCACTTCAAAGTTATGTGTGAAAATAACACCTATACGGCAAACCCTCTAACAGTTCTAAGAGCCACAAACTCAAAACTACAAAATGTTTTGTCATAGTCCACAAAGAATTGTGTGACACTGCTTGGAGTCCATTACATTTCGATTTAGCTTAACTGAATTTGAAGTTCACATTAATCAGTCCATATTAATGAATCAATCCAGAGTTCAAATGCAGCTACAGTAATCCAAAAATGTCTCCTTACCTTCAGCTGGTCCTGGCAGCGGAATACATAGCAGGCTGCTTTATTCTCCTCTCTGAGCAAACAGCCAAAATAGCTGGGCTCCTGGCTGTTGTGAATGAGTTTGGTGATACGATGTGGCCTGTGATCAAACAGAACCATATGTTGCAATGGGTCCCATGGCTTCCCCGGTCCTGCCGTGTCCAGAATGCAGCTCACTGAATTGGCTGAAATCTGCAATACCACAGGTTGATCTCGAACCTTGGACCATCAGAGGGAAGAAGAAAAAATAGTTCTATGGTGCTACCATGGTATTCTTCTATGTACGTACACGAATACTGTTATACTATGCCATAGTATTCATCTAAATAATAAAAAAACACTTTTGTGTCCCTGATTGTACACACCGTCTTCAATAATTCTACTCTACAAGATGTTTCATATACACAACTATTCAAAAGTTTGGGGTCAGTAAGATTTTTTTTAAAGAAATTAACAATTTTATTTAGCAAGGATGTATTATATTGTGACAGTTAACGTTATATAAAATATTTCAAATAAATGCTGTTCTTTTGACCTTTCCATTCATCAAATAATCCTGAAGAAAAACATATTATGGTTTACATAAAAATATTAAGCAGTACAACTATTTTCAACACTGATAATAAGAAATGTTTCTTTAGCACCAAATCAGCATATTAAAATGATTTTTGAGGGATCATGTGAAACTGCAGACATTTTAAAACATATTAAGATAGAAAACAGTTATTTTTAATTGAAATTATAATACGTTTTTTACTGTGTTTTTATAGTGAGCATAAGAAACTACCGACACCAACTTTTGAACAGTAGTGTATATGTTTACAATACATTTACAATTAGGCTTTACATTGCTGTGTTTTTCTGTAAAGTATTTTCTTCCAACATGTATAAATAAACTGACCTCTGGAGAGTAAGTGCCATTAAATTCATGGTTTCCGTTCTTCTCCCCCGGCCGGGGCCTCCGTATCTCAGCCACTACCCAGGGGAGCATGGTCATGGTGGTCTGTGGATGGATGGCCAAAGATCCAACCAGAGTTAGCCTGTACTTAATCTCCTCTTCCCCTTCCTCTTTCTTCCTCTTATCCACTGATCCAGGAAGTGTTTGTGTAAGGGCAGAGAGAGGATGATCTTTGATTGGGTCATCTCTGGGTTTGACCTCGAAACAAATTCCCTCCATGCTCCTAATCAAAAAAATGAGGAACTAGGTATAACCTCGTCAAGAACATTAAAAAAAACACCAACATAAATGAAGCAGGTGGTTCTGTGAAAAGAAACATTGAAGGTATTTCATACAACTTCTACAACATTTACCACCTCAACTCTGTCATTCGCAGGGGAATAAAACAGCTTACTGGAAAGGAACACATGCAGGCAAAGAATTCCTGGCCTCTTTCAGCTTTAAGCAAAGTTGTCTAAAAATGATATAATATTAATAAAATGTCATAATAATTCTTTGTTTTTGTTGCTCTTTAAATTTGCATTAGATAAGGTACCAAATGATAGTCAAACATATAAAAAAAAAAAAAATAGACAAAGTTTATCACTTTAAGAAAAGTCAGGAAGGCTAAAAACTGTTATTTTAGTATTTTATATATAATATTATTATTTATTAATATTTTGAATTTGTCTTTTTTCAGGTTTCATTTTAATTAAAGTTTTAGTCATTTGTATGTGCTTTTGTAATTTTTATTCGATTTTATATTATTTTTGATTATTTTAAAATTTTAACTTATTTATTTATCTTAGTTGCCGAAGCAACATTTATTATTTCCCTTTCAGTTTTTTTTTAAGTTTAAGTTTTTCATCTATTATTTCATTTCATTTCATTTCAGCTTTATTTCATTTTTTTGTAGTTGACAACAACATGGCTAAAACCTAAAATGTGCTTTAATTAAATTAACTGGTTTAATTAAGTCTAGAATATTATTTAATATACCCTAGAATAATCTGACATTATGTTACACTGACAAAAGTAATTTTTGCATTATGTTACACCAACAAAATTCACTGCAAATTCTGTACAGTGTGTCAAGGGATGCGCCATTCAGAATAGAGTTTGTAGTGATAATAACAACAAAAAGGAACCTCATCCTACAAATAGAACTAAGCTTTATAAAATAAGATTATGTAAAGGTCATATTGTATATCTGAACAAAAGTATTTGAGGCATTGGAATAGAGTGTCCTCCTGCACGGTTCTGAGACGGGGTCCTCGTGTGGTAGCTTACATGCACTGACTGAAGCAACAGCGAATATAAATAGCCAAGCATGTCTAATGAGACACAACTGCTATTTACAGAGAGGTCAACAGAAAGTTACTCTGATGATAACAAACAAGAGATAGCAAAATGTCACAACAAAAAAAATACAGGACAGGTCATGGACTCAAGTAGCATAGCCTAAAAAATCGAGGGAGAGAGGCAAGTCACCTCAAATTAAAAAAAAAGATTTTGAGGACATTTGGCAAGGTCATAGGTTTGTCGCAGAGCAATATTTTGCTATAAGTTACTTTGAATAATTATTTATATACAAATAATGAGCTTTAAAAAAAGTTTTAACTGTCACTTACCACGATGCACCGCCTATTTGAGGAAGTTTCCTAAATAACGGTCCCGTTAGTTTTTGACAATAGGCTACAGACTAATGTCCTATCGGCAACTGATTTTCAGGTTGAACTTTCCCAAAGTAGTCGATTAATCACCGTATCGGTCTCTCGCCATAGCAATAACGCGACACGGAGTAGGCTAGTGTGAGTAGGCTAGAGTGTGATTGAGGAAGTCTTCTTCTCTGACGTTTGAATGAACTTCTGACTGCGCAGATCACGGTGAGAGAAGGTCTTGCCAGCACTAAAAATAAATAAATAAATAAAAACAAATCTTTTTCAATCCGGTTGTGCTTTGAAATCCACGCTGGTTTTAATAAAGCTGCGGAGTTTGTGTTTATAGTTTTTGCTTTTCCGTATAAAAAAAATAAATCTGTCATTATTAGGCTATACTCATCCTCGTGCAGTTTCCCGTATGAATTTCTTTCTTCTGAGGAACTCAAAACGAGACGTTAGATTTTGTGACTGACAGATCAGCCACCATTCTATTTCGGAGCATTTTTTTTCCCTTATACGACAATAAAAGTGAATGACCTTTTGATGTCTAAAGAAGTCAGTGTCCAGTTCTGTTTACGTATGCACTGTCAAAGTACTGAACAACTTAAAATGTAGGCATAATTGTGTTATAGTCTATTCTTGATAAGTATTATCGTACCTAATAGTATCAACATGTGATATGTGTAATACATGTAGACTGTAAAGCAAAGGGTTACCAAAATTGTGCCTTTATCCAGCGCCGCACCTGCCGCGTCCACTGCCCGGAGTGATTTATCCCGGTGCGCGCGCTCTGTTTATGCGCGTGCTCACAGACAGCTCTTGCTCTTCATTTAAAATGAAGACACAACTACTCTCTTCATGTTTGTGTTCCACAAACCGAAAGTAAAGACCACTACGAGCTACATACACACACGCACACACACTACTGCCAACTGTGCGAGACTATAAATAAAGAGGTGTAGAGTGACCAAGATTGCCTATGACTGAAAAGTTTAAAATAAAAAACATTACACAATTATAAACTAATCTAAACTTAGCCAAATACAGACTTCACATGAATAAAATAAATATTATATTATGTCAAATATAGCCTATAAAAGTAATGCTGACATTTTCTAACCATAATTTCTAATACAAGAGATCAGAAATTAAGAAAACAATTAAAGTTGCTGAAAGGCTGCAAAAAGGCAACACAAATAACAAACAACAACATATATAGGAAGACAAATATATAACAATTAGTGCTGGGCAACGATTAAAAAATTTAATCGCGATTAATCGCATGATTTCTTGCGATTAATCGCGATTAATCGCATTGTTACGCGCAATATTGAATAATGAATTCTAAAGTAGTGTATTGCGCACTTTTGATTTAAATGTACTGCTACAAAAGTGCAATAACATGTGGTTTGCAAAAACTTTAAACAAATAAGGTGCTTTTATACCAGCAGTATTCCCTTTACACAGTATCAATAAAATATTTCTTGTAAATCTCAACTTAAACATTAACATAATCAAATCAAATATTTAAACAAAGCTATTTGCCACTGCCAGGGCATTACCTTTTATCTAGCTTGTTAAAACGAGTCCAGTTTTCTTTTCTTTTTTTTTCTGAACAGGTATCTTGTATCAGGGAGCAGCAGAAACAGTCTATGTAGTCAAAGGGTCATGATCACTACTACAGATATAAGTCGACCAACGTTACTTCTCTGATAGCAGCTTAGGTTTGGTCATGGCATGCCATGGTTTCCCACGTAAGATTACATTAAACAGAGGTAAAGCCCAATTTATACTTCTGCGTCGAACTCACGCCGTAGCTGTGTAGCGCGCGTACCCTGACGTGCATCTCTCCAAAAATGTAACGTCAATTCTACGCGTACCGCAAGCGCTGTGATTGCTAGAACCGCTCCCCGGGTTTCACACTCTCCCTCTGCATGTGTAATTGCGCGTCAACGACGCAGATTTATAAATGAAAACCAACGCGTAGTCTATAGCGTAGAGGCTCCGGCTTAGGTCCGACGCAGAAGTATAAATCAGCCTAGAGTGAGGTGAAGTGGTCGAGCACTGGTGCAGCGACAAGCGGGTGCGTTCCTGTGAAACTGTTGCGGTCATGCTCGCCTCACGCACGCGCCCGCGCGTTGCCGAAGTTGAATTGTCTAACTTTTTGTACACGACGCGCAGCACAAATCATTGGAAGAGAGACTGATCCTTGGCTCGCTGTTTGTGAGTTTCCAGAATCTAAATAGTTATCAGGACATCAACAGGAGGGAATTCACATGGCAGAGCATCCCCGCTAAACTAAACGCAGGCCTATCAGGTAAAGTTATGTATAATTTTAATTTAAGTTAAAAAGACTACAGCTGCGTAGCGCACAGAAGCCGTTGCATGGTTACTATCCATAGAGCGCCTGTCATTCACTCGCGGAGCGCTTTCTCCCTTTCTGTTCACCTGAGAGAACCTGCCAAAGCCTCTCCACTGCTTGTTTGGGTGGGTTATTTGCTGGCTGACCAACATCCCACCCCTCCTGTGATCATGGTTTGACTGTAGGCCTATGTGTATTCAGAGCCAGTGAGCAACGGACTTTCAAAATAATAATAATAAAAAAAACTGCGTTAACGCGCGATAAAAAAATTGTCGGCATTAATTACTAAATGCGTTAACGCGATAATAACGCGTTAACTTGCCCAGCACTAATAACAATATAAGGAATAAATATAAAGATATGTCAAAAAAACAAATCTATCAAATGTTAAAAAATAAAAGAAATGTTTTGAGATAAACAATACCCTCTGCTGGCCTTAAACAGATAATACATGCAATTTCCCCTTTTTGCAGTTTATTTCACACACCTCGACAGGAAAAGTGCAATTTTGACTGACTTTCAAAATAAGGACAATGATTGTTGGATTAACAGGTTCAATCACAGCATACATTTTTATTATTTCTGTCATTTGATATAATAGATCCATTTTATGTATTCCTACATCTTTAACGCACACTCACGCACAGATAAAAGACCAGTCTGTGGTTACCACTTGCTGTTTATTGATTCAAAATAGAGGGGAAAAAACAGCATTTTGAGTTTAAAAGTATCAAACTGATAAGCACCTGAAATGTATGAAATCACTGTACATGAAAAATAAATCAACAGGTATTGTATGTGGTGGTTTGACTAGTCAGCCTTACATTAGATGGCATTGGATGACATAGATGGATAGTCAACAATTAAGTTAGTATTAAGGCATTTTCTGTTAAATCTCAGTCATAACCATTGCAAAAACGAGATCAGATTTGCTTTTACACAAGAAATCTGGTTGATCACATAAACGTATCTGCTTATGGAAAAAATGTCCTTCTGTTCAAATGTAAAACTTTCCAAACAGGTTCCCAGTCTCAACCTCACAGTTAACAGTTCTGAATGTAATATCAAACTGGTTGAGTTTGACATTTAAAATGGTAATAAAAAAAAAACATTTAATAAATCAAACAATTACAGGCCACTTAATGTAGATGATGGAATGAGAATTTAATGGAATCATGTAAAAGTGGCAAACTCTGCTCTTTCAAAGTAAGGTTTTTAGGTCCCTCTTTTAAGTGATTTTTGGTAAAACTATTCTAGATTTGAGTAATGCTAATGCTGGTATGAAATGACATTTCTGAGGTTATTTGGATGGCTGAATTTAACAGTAACTAGAAATTGTCCACTGCTCCAATATGGAATCATTTCTGTCAATCAACTCAACTAATATATCTGCTGATGACATAAATAATCTTTATATTAATTCAAGCACACTTTAGTTGTATTAGTGCATTCATAGTTCAATACAGTAGGGCAAAAAAGGCAAATCAAAAATAATTTCATATATAATTTTATCCCATAACATTGTAGATTAGAAAACTGAGAGTTGTGAAAAATGTAAATGAAAAAGGTTATTGTTATGTTCATGTGGTACCCGCTTTGATCTACATAATGAGAAAACTTCCTTAGATTAAGACTCAGAATATGTAAGCTTTAATAATAGTGGTTATATGTGGTAGGTTAAGACTAACAGCAGAATTAGGTATGATATGAATATCTTTGTAATCCTGTGTGATTGTGTCTCTCACTGTGGTCGAGGAGTCAGGCTGTTTTTCTCAGGTTGGTAGAAGTGTTCTACAATGGCATCAACCAAGTTATCCAATTCAGTTTTCAACTGGTTAAGATCACTAGAGAAGAGAAACACAGAAAACCTGTTTATACATGATTATGAGTTATTCAAGTGGCACGTGCCACTACTAAATTATTTAGCAAGTGCCAAGACTATGATTATGTCTACCATACTGAGCTTACTATTCTTGCAGAGTACCGTGCGTATAATGTGCAAATATGCAGAATTTTTTGGATTCATAGAATACATTGATGACCAACTACTACCTTACAACATACCTTAATAAAATATGCTGTATGTGACAACATAGAAAACTACTGTTGGAAATGTTTATCACATCGTAATGTTAAAAAATATTAGCATATTTTAATACATAATAATTATTATTATACAGTCATTTTGAATAATAATAATAACTGTATAGAATAATGATAATTCTAACTATATTTTATACAATACATAATTAATAATAATTATACTATTATATAACTAAATGAATAGATAATTATATGTAATATATTATTATTGTTGTATTATTATAAAATGTGTTTATTAATTTATAAAAATTAAACAAATTAACAAAGAAAATTACTATAGCCATACTATTGTATTGTAAAATTAAAACTGTATTTCATTATAATAAATTATATATAATACATATTTAATAATACTTATTTTTTATAACTGAAGTAATATATAATTATATGTAATATATTACTGTTATTATTATTATTGTAGTCATATTGCATAATATTAGTAGTATTATATACTGTACAGAATAATAATTATTCTAATTATATAAATGATACATAATGGTAATTCTATATAACTAAAGTAATATACACGTCATATATTGTTATTATATATATATATATATATATATCAATAATTTTGTATTATTTATAATTTTCTAAAAATTCAATCAACTAAATATATTACTATTGCAATAATGATATTGTACGGTACCATACATCTTTTTATATAATATATATATTTTTTTTAAATTGGCCTATATAGTGTGAAATGGTAACACTCTAAACCTGTTTCCTGGTGCAGCACAGAGTTCAGTGTAATATTTGATTTTAGGCTCTGTGCCGCTGGTCCTCATTGTAGCCACGCCCCCGTTAGCAAAAGTGAAGGTAATCATCTGACTGCTTTTACTGGTGGGCAGAACCTGTGAGTAATAGTAAGAGACACACAAATAGAAGATATACGATAAAAAACATTTAAATAAGATCAGCTATGAAAATAATTCTAATCATTATGGGCTACGCACAGCCTTGTTGTCGGGCTGGTGGCTGTCATAGCCGGTCGTAAGGTCTCTCACTGCTGTGATGGCAAAGCCCCCGCACTCTTGAGGGTACGAATTCTCCCCGTCATAGTTCCGAAGACGCTCAAACAACCGCTTTATGGTGTCTTGGTTGTGGCAGATAAAGTAGGAATTACTGGTAATGTGGTAACCATACCTGAAATCAGTGAGAGACATTGTGACAATAAGGATTAACAAGAAGATACAAGAAAATGTATTAGAGATGTCAATGCTAAAGTTTTTGTTACATACTCCTCATAAATGGATCTGAGTTGACGGGACAGAGTTATATTCTTAGAAGCCAGGTAAGAGACAAACTCGCCAGCAATGGCAGCCGCACTCACACCATCTTTGTCCAAAACTGCAGTATAACACATGTAACCTGCAACAACAATGCAACCAAAGAAAAATGTTAAAGGCTTTTGAGGTAATGCACCACTGTGTATTTAAAACAATGTTCCAACTAAGAGTGACGGAGAACCATCTCATGTAGAGGATTTTATGTTTGTTTAAAACATAAGGGGTTATTTTACTGTCTCTGGTTTGGCGTAGTTTGAATTGCAATAATATTATGATATTGTGATGCATAAAAATTAATTGAATCATAATGATACATATTGTGATATGTATCATATTATGATACACAGCACTAGGACAAGGTGATACTGATAAAGATATAGGTTATGTGTTATATAGCAGAACATTTTTCATCCAAAATTAACAGTACAACTTAACAGTACACATACAAAAGGATCAATCTAAGGTTAGGTGTCTTACGCAAGGGCCTCCATGATTTCTGTTATTAAAGCTGCAGTCCGTAACTTTTGGCGCTCTAGCGGTTAATAAACAGAACTGCATGCGTCTTGTGGAAGAACATTGTAGCCGGAGCTACTTCTCTGTTAATGTCTATGACGAGTCACAAAGGTACTGGGCTACTCCGCAGTGGTACGACCCGAACCAGTCTGAAGTAGTCAAAATATAAACACTTATTATAGGTGTACCGTAGTATTTCAGAATAAGACAAAAACACGGTTTGGAAAAAGGATTTTATTATACTCAGTACTCATGGTACTAGCTTATTATATACATTTTGTAAATTTTGAACACAAAAGAAGTTACGGACTGCAGCTTTAAGACAGCTCTAGTGTCTTGAACTTTTGATCATTGGGTTACTAAGCCAGAATGTTACCAGAACTTTACAAAAATGCACTTAAATTTGCATGTTTTTAGTGACTCGCGGTGTGTGGATGTGAGTGTACCAATAGCTTCTTCAAAGGCAAACAGAACAGTTTTTCCCTGGTCCATGAGATCTCTGGCTCGGTTTCCCATCCATTTAAAGCCTGTTAGAGTCTCCTGCATAAGAGACATGCAGAGATTCAGCAAACAAACAAAAAACGTAAAAGATAAACATTTTTTCAAACATGATATTGTACAATGCAGAATTTCCTGAGCAAAGAATTTCCATGATTTTATCAAGACTTTTCTAGCTATTTCTGATGACTGGATAAGGATTTTTAAAAACCATTTTATGTGAGACCACATTCACAAAGAAGAGCCAAATAAATACTTTAGAGGTGAGCATTACAAGAAAGATTTATGGCAGCAGCTATTTGCAATAAGTGCAAATAACTACTAGATTCTATTTGCACTAAGTGAAAATAGCAGCATTTTCTTAGCGATATGCTATTTACACTAAGTGACAATAGTGATAGATTCTATTTACACTAAAAATAGCAGTATTTTCATTGCAATAAGTGTAAATAGTAGTTAGATGCTATTTATAAATAGTGTCAGATACTATTTGCACCTCAGTGTTGTTGTACATTAAACGGTATGCAATAATAACAGAGTAAATTATTATATTTGTTAATATTATTAAATGGATACCGCCTTATTGGGAAAATAAAGCCCTTCCTACACCTACCCCTAACACTTTATTATTAAACACACGCTAGACACTTTATTTACACTTTTCGAATATTTTATTCTTTTTTTTTTTTAGAAATGCTTTTCCCATCTGATATTATAATGGAAAAAGGGAGTAGAGCGAGTTCGCTTTCTGAAAACTTTCTGCCATGTGCCTTACCCCACACTATTGCTACTGTTGACAAGTCAGCATCTTCCTTAGTTTTGTTTGGCCCAACCAGACATCAGTAGGCGGAGATAGTGTAAATAGCCTCTCCTAATAAGGCGGTGATTATAGAAATTATAGAACTGATTATAGAAATGTTCTTGACTATGTTACTTTTCCAGGCCTGAAAATCACACTTTTGAAATTCCCTGATATTTCCAAGGCTGTGGCAACACACACTCTTATTGACCCATAGAACAAACAATTTTTCAATTTGCAACTAAATTCTAAGTTTATAATTTAGCAACATAACTAATATTCGCTGCTATCAGAAAATAACATTTTCCATGGGATAGAGCAGTGGTTCTCAACCGAGGGTTCGGGGCCCACAAGGGGGCCTCTGTAAACTTCCAGGGGGGCCCCAAAAAGTCTTAAAATTCTTTAAATGTAGTTAGTTATATACTCATATAACCTTAATTAAAATGTATAAAACATTAAACTGCTATCACATTTTTTATTATATTTATTTTTATTACAACAGAAGTAGCAGAGGTATACATTGAGACATTGTTACTGCTCACAGTAAACATCAGTTTAAAGTCCTTTTAAAAAGGCATTTGATTATAAATTAAAATGTATTGTGAATGGTAAATTGTTATTCCACTATAAATTCTTGCTTACCGTATCATGGCCAAATTTTTTTTTTTTTTACAAAAGATGATTTAATATCTTAGAATTATGACTAAACTAGGTCTTGTGTAATGATTGTGTATATGAGTGTGTGTTTGGTTTTGTGAGTAGGTATGTGTGAGTAGGGGTGTGGTGTTTTTAATTTTTTGCATTAGTGTTTTATTTGTAAAATGTAATGCATTGAATATTGGTGTAAAAGTCTTGTGAGCGGCATGTTGGATTGTATCGACTCCAGGAAGAGTAGCTGCTCGTGTGCAGCTAATGGAGATCGAATAAATAAATAAATAAATAAATACATCAGCTTAGTTAGGAAAAAAATTGTCTTGGTCTTAAAAGGTTGAGAACCACTGTGATTGAGGCACCACGAAACTAAGGAATCACTCATTATATTACACATTATATGGGTAAAAAGCAGAGGTACCTCAAAGTGGAAGCCCTCTTTCACAGCAATGGCACGGAGGATTTTTGAGGAGACAGTGCTGGATAGCATGTATACATCCTTAATGGAGGCTTTTCCCTCTCCTTTCTGCTGCTTCCAGCATTGGAAAATCCACCAGCCGAGCAAAGCACCCAACTCATTACCAGAGAATACCCTCCACTGCCCACTACAAAAAGAATGATTGCTGTTCATAAAATGACACACTAAATAAAAATCAACGCAAAATGCCAAATAGCACAGACCTCTTCTGTTTCTCTGCAATAGCTAGTCGGTCAGCATCAGGGTCATTTGCCAGAATAACAGTTGCTCCCTCTTTATCTGCAAGTGCGAAGGACAGCGTCTACATACACAAACACATACAGATTACTGTCCATCTGGCATTGCATGTTAAAGAGCACATTTTCCACAGCACAAGTGTGTGTGTGTGTGTGTGTGTGTGTGTGTGTGTGTGTGTGTGTGTGTGTGTGTGTGTGTGTGTGTGTGTGTGTGTGTGTGTGTGTGTGTGTGTGTGTGTGTGTGTGTGTGTGTGTGTGTGTGTGTGTGTGTGTGTGTGTGTGTGTGTGTGTGTGTGTGTGTGTTGTACCAGGACTCCCTCTCCCTCCTCAGGGTTGGGGTATTTGACAGTGGGGAACTCCGGGTCAGGATCTTTCTGCTCTTCCACAGCATATGGAGGTTGAAGGTCAAAAGCCTTAAAAGCAGCCTGGACAAAAAAATGGCCCACTCCATGAACTGATGTATGGACAATCTTCACTTCTGTATTCTTATTCAGCTCCCTGTGAGGACAAGAGAGGTGTAAAAATCAGACTGATTAATGATTAGGGCTGGGTACTGGCACTAATGAAACTGTAGAGGGCGCAGGCTGATTAGTCCTTTACATGCAATTTGCAAGCAATCACATCATTACCGCATGGCACAAGCTGATTGGCATTTGCTGATCCTGCAGGCAATGAGATTGCTTGCTCAACATGTAAATAGCCTGGTTCATTGTTTGCTGTATGCTAGTCCTGCAGTGCTATCAGAGTTAATCTGAAACCCTCCTCCTCCTCCTCCTCCTCCTCCTCCTCCTCCTCCTCCTCCTCCCTAGATCTGCTATGGGATTTATGTATGACTACTTATGCAGCAGCAGCAGGATATCTTACATGCTCACAGCAGCGTGTCTGTGCATCTATTAGCAGTAGCAAGTCCAAACTTGCTCTAAAGAAGCAGCAGCGCAGCAGATATTGTCCGCCAAGACCAAATACATTAACATAGCCATATTCAATAACATGCTAAAACTATTCAGAGTTGTAATGATTTATATTTTATCTTTGCACATCACTTTCATTTTTCAGAAATTCAGAAAAAATATTAAAATATATAAAATGTTTAAAAAATATATTTCCGAAAAATAAATAACAAAAAATATATAGTTGATTATTAAAAATAAAAGGCATGTTCAAAGGCATAATTTCATTATCATAAATGCAGTTTACTTTACACATTCATTGATAAAAGCAAAGTAAAGTATTAATCTTGGAATTTATGAGAATTAATATCAGATGGTTCAAATGAAATTGAATAAATCAACGTTTTGACCCAGTCCTAATTCTTCAGACATGTCTTTGTGAGTGTACCTGTGATAGCAGTGCTGCTGTATGGTTTGGCAGTATTCTCTGTGTATGTCCTGGTATGGGTCATTGAGAAGGGAACTCTGAAGAGCTTCATCTGTGTCCCATGATTCAGGCCACGGCTCAAGGTTTTGTTCTATAGCTGCAGCAATGCCCTTATCATGGGGTGGAATGATCTGAGCTCCATTTGCCCAGTACACCTTAAACAAACACACACACATATTGAAAAATGGATCATACCTAGAAGTCCAAATAAAACATGCTCAAAATATTTTCTTCTAAATCAAACATCTAGCATATTTAGCTGGAGGGGTGATACCTTGTATCCATTATCTTGTTTGGGATTGTGGGAGGCTGTTACCATGACACCAGCACACAGTTTTAGATGTGACACAGTAAAAGGCTGAGAAGGAAAAGGAAGAAAAGAGGTGTTATTTTTTATTTATTTACACTTCATTCAAAGACATTAATAAATCTTTTGAACGGTGTGGTTGACGTGATTGGTTACAAGGTAGTTTGTGATGTCAGAAACGCTGGCGATTTTAAACCGTGTTTTTAAGGAGTTTTAAGGAGAAAATACTCAGCAATGGTGTTGACTTATGATTTTGCACATGGTTTGTTTTAAAGCACATTAAAACACCATTAATAAATATATAATTTTAAAATGTATAATTACTAAATAATAAGTATATAAATAACATTAAAAAAAATTCACCACAGGGGGTCTTTAAGGGGCAACTACTAGTTACTTAGAGTAACACAACTATGTATCATGTAACTTTTAAAAGTAACACTACCTTAAAAAGTAGTTACCTAAAATTGTAGAACAAACATGTGCTCTGAGCATGCAAGGCTCACATGATCATGGTGTGGCAGATCTCAGACTGTCCCAAAATTTGTACACAGACCCCCGCTAGGCTGATAATTGAGAATATGACATTTAGATTCCCCCGTGGCCACCAAAAGATGAAGAATGTCAAATTACAGTGGATGACATAACTGTTTCCCTCTTGAGTTTAAGAAATATGACATATTTGATTTTTTAAATCAGTGTTTTGTGGACTAATACTCCATTTTACATAACAGGGACCAAAATGTTTTTGGACTAGAGGACACAGAGTGAGAGAAAGCTGTTTGAGGGCTCAAAGTGAAAGGTTGAGAGAGTGATAAGAGAATGAGTGAGAGTGTGTCCGTGTGCTCATGGGAACAGAAAAGTTGATGATTGCTGAAGAATCTTCATGAACCCTTCCAGTCTCTTGTGCAACAATCTCACAGTCTTTTCACGTGCAATTGTGTGTATCTGTATTCTTTCTCATGCGTTTGGTTTTTGATTTGTAATTAGTTGTTTGTAGCCGGATGTAGCAAATTTTCAAAAAGATATTTGAACATAAACACAAACTACAATTGACAACACTTCTAAATAATTTTTTTTTTAAATTACAAAGTTACAGTACAGTTACAGTACTGCATATTTTTGAATATGTTCCATAGAAGCATCTTGGAATAGCATGCAAATAAGTATGGCAATCATTCAGTACCATGGCATATGTACCACGGTGATACCATTACTGAACCATGGCACCAGCAAGTAAAGGAAAGTAGTAGATTTTTGTATATACAATTTTTATATATTTTGTATGCCTTTTTTACTGTGGTAAATGGTAGTGGAACATGTCGCAGTCAATATGCTATGATGCTGATTTGGTCCTCAAGAAACATTCTTATTACCAATGTTAAAAATAGTTGTGCTGCTTGATTAAAGCAATAAACCCCAAGAAGCTGTGGTTTACAGTGATTTTAGAACAGCTAAGGGGTATTGTTCACTCTCAGAAAAAACATGTATCTTTAAGGGTTCAACAGCTTGTCGTTGGGGCAGTACCCTTAAAAGGACAACTTTATACCTTATCAACCGCGATAAAGGTTCATAGTAGTACCTTAAGGTAAGTATTGCTACTCTAAGGTAATAATATGCTATTTTTAAGGGGGAAAAGGGTACAAAGATGTCCTTTTAAGGGTACTGCCCCAATGACAAGCCGTTGCACCCCTAAAAGGGACATTGCAGAGCGCCGTATTAATCAAAGGTATTCATTTCTTTGAAAGTGAGTGGGTGCTAAGGCTCATGGGTGCTAATGTGTCATGCTATACCACAGTGTAAGTCAGTGTAGCAGGTTCATACGTACCACGTATGGAGTGGGTGTGATGTCACTGAAGAGGTAGACTGGGACCCCTCGACTGATGAAGACACAAGCAGCAAGGCAGGCGAATCTTTTACTGCTGCCGCCACTAGGGGGGTGAGCGCGAGCATCGAACCCAATCACCACCCCCCTCTGCTTCAGATCTGTAAAACACTGCTCCAGGTAAGCACAGAAACCCTACCAGAAGCAAAAGAGTGGAATTAATATCAATGAATTAATTGATATTAATTAATTAATATCAATAAATAACATTTACTGTTATTTATGGAAGCTTGTTTCCACCACAGAATGAAAAATAAAAAAAGGTAACTGACTTTTTTCTCAGAATTGTGTGATATATAGTCACAATTGTGAGTTGTAAAGTCAGAATTGCGAGATATAAACTCGAAATTCTGACTTTTTGTTCTCACAATTCTGTATTCTTTTCTCGGTTATATTGTGAGAAAAAAAATCTGAATTGCAAGTTTATATCTTACAATTCTGACTTTTTTCTCACAATTGCAAGTTTATATCTCACAATTTCAAAATATAACTGAGAAAAGAAGTCAGAATTGTGATTTATAAAGTCAGAATTGCAAGATATAAATTCACAATTGTGAGAAAAAAAAGTCTGAATTAAGAGTTTAAATCTCGCAATGCACTACTTGCACAACTACTTCCGCATTCTACTTATTACATATCGGGAGTTTCCGGTTAGAGTGTTCATCCACGTCCATACATGAAAATGCAGATTATCACTACGTTTTATGGATGCCAATTGATTAAAACAATGAATAATGATCTCTGTATTAATTATCTTGAGCCTGCTGAAATGTTCCTATAAATATATTTTCTTTCCAACTGTTACATTCGGAATAATAAATATATATTTATTCACTAACCTGCAGCAGTCTATGTCTTCTCATTATATTTTTCTCTTAGCCTACTTATATTCTATACCTGTTGAGTTCACATTTTTTAATGAATTTGACTACTAAAAAGTATTTCTTGTGTGCATTGGTGCTTTATTCCTGTCTTTTTAAAATAGTTGACTGAATGAATACTCGCGAGGTGCCTACGATCAGAACCATAGATCAGAACCGCACGCAGAGGAGAATGACAGTCAACTTCTTTGAATATTAATTAAGCATTTTGGGCATGAACATGTAAACAGTAAAACGATTGACATTGAAAAATGACACTGAATGATTACAATATTTAATCCAAATAAATAAATGTTCGTGGTTCGTACTGATGTTATTCATCTGTTCTCACACATTTCAGCGTCGCGGTCACTAGTTTAGACCTGTCTATGGTTTAGACGAACACTGACACCCTGTGGTGAAATAATGGCGTATTTTTAACAGCCGCAGATTTCTCAGAGTGGCTTGGATTGGATTAAACTTCATGTTCTGATGAGTTTTGAAAATTCTACAAACAGTAAACATCAGATCAGCCCTTCTTCTGTCAATAAAAAAGTCCAAAATATTAAATATTATTATAGACACTTTTTTTAGTTGGCGTTTGTTCAACTCATTGACCACAGTACTTTGAAAGTAAACATAACCGGAAATAAGTGATATGTATTGTTTCCAAACGGAAGTGCATCACGAAGTTCAGTGCAAGTGGTCCATTGCGACTTTATATCTCGCAAATCGGAGAATTGTGACTCGTAATTGTGAGATAAAAAGTCGCAATTATCTTTTAAAATGTTTTATTCCGTGGCGGAAACAAGCTTCCATAGTTATTCGCCAAATTTTCATGGGCAAAATTTGGCCATTTCAAAAGGAATTCACGTGATCAGGAATTCCGCAATTTTCACACAATTGGGTCAATGGGTTTTGTCACATTGACCAACAGAAAGCTACTTGGTTTGAAAGTGACTTCGGTGTCAGAGATGTGCTTCATACAAAATTTCACATAATTCCACACCTTAAGGTCATAATGAAACTGAAGTAATGACCAATATTTTCTTCCATATTGTGACGTACATCAGAGTTTTATGGTTTATTGGAAAAAAATGTAGGGTAGGGACTTGGTTCTATGCATAAGCTGTTGATTAGATCTTGAGATGTGGCTTTTGCTCTGAAAAGTCGAGGCAGATGAACGTGAGTTTGCCGAACCAGGGTTTAAGTGGAGTAAATGATTGGAGAAGTCTTGCATACGTCACCAGAAAGAAGTCAGTCGTTCTGTGTGGAACCAAGAGCACTACAATCTTTTTGATCTGATGCCATAGCTTAGGATCTCCTGTATAGTTTTAATGATTCCGAGTGACAAGATAATAGGTGGGAAGATGACATGGGAAGCTACGTCACCTGAGTGGTCTGTATGATGGTGAGGTCATTCATGCAGGACACTCCAGGTCCCATGGCGGCTCTCAGTCCCGCTGTGCCAAACTCCATTCGGGCTCCGAAACACCTCTGCAGTTCTGACATGGCTTTATCTTTAACCATAGACCGCACGGCAGCAGCCGTCTTTGGATTCTGTAAACACACACAAAAAATATATCAATTTTTTTTTTTAAAATCTTTCAAATAATGTGCACTCATGAAATCGTTCCAGTAAGACGAAGATGACTTTCTACATCTTCTGTATGAAGAAAGTAAATGAGGTCAATTTTGGTTTTATGTTGACTTTGCATATTATCTATAAGTGACAATAAAAAAAGGAATGGGGGAAGAAAGAAGCGTCTTTGTCTCACTTTGTCCTTATGATTTTGATTAGTGCAGTGTGTGTGTGTGTGTGTGTGTGTGTGTGTGTGTGTGTGTGTGTGTGTGTGTGTGTGTGTGACAATATGCTTTCACGCTCCTGATAAGTGAGACCATGTGAGGATGCAAAGTGAAGGGCTGTGATCCCTTCCTGACTGCAAAGACACTTATGATGACCTCTCTGAGCAGCACACAGGCCAATACAATCATTTTGGTGACTACACTGCCAATACTTGAATTAATCATATAGTGATACCTATTATAGATTCAAAAAGCTCTGTTACATTTTTTTGCACTGAAAAAGATAATGAAATCTGAACATCCAATTTGACCTAATCCATGACCAAACTTCTGAGTAAAACCTTTAACTAGGTTTCATGTGACCCAGTTAAGCACACGACTCCAATTACTGTAATGACATTAAACTGCATTTATAGAACTGTCCACTGACAATATTTTACATTCTATTTAATATCAGGATTCAATATCACATTAACAATATGATGTGTGCACTTGTTTTTTATTGTTTTTGAAGCATAGTGCTCATTCGCTTTCAGTTCAGGCAGGTCATGTTTTTTTTGTACTAAATGAATCAGACACATTTGCCCAATTCCAAAACATTCCTGATGAGAAATTATAGATTAGATCTTTATTATCTCAAAATGTTTCTCTTGAGGTAAAATGGATTATATAATCTCTTGATTCTCAGATTTTTCTTCTGAGAAATAGCCTAGACCTCAGTGATCTCATGTGTCTCCTTCAGACTGTTAGAACAATCTGTGAACTGCTCAGATTTGCCAAGATGGTTTGCAATCAAAAGACAGATTTCAATATGAAAAGAAAAACTCAAACTAAATTAAAATCTATACCACCATTCAAGGGTTTGGGGTCAGTACGATTTTTTTTTTATAAATAATACTTTTATTCAGCAAGGAGGATGCATTAAAATGATCAAAAGTGACAGTAAAGACATTTATACGGTTACAAAATATTTATATCTGGTCTTCTGTACTTTTTATTAATAAAAAAAAAATGTATCATGGTTTTCACACAAATATTAAGCAACACAACTGTTTTCAGTATTGGTAATAATAAGAAAAGTTGCTTGAGCACCAAATCAGTATATTAAAATTTCTGAAGGATCGTGTGACACTAAAGACTGGAGTAATTGTTTGCCAACACAGGAATAAATTACATTTTAAAATATATTTTATACGTATTAAATACGTTAATTGAGGCGTGGTAAACATAAGAGGCTTATTTCATAAATAGCACAAATTTTAACAAACTTTTGAACAGTAGTGTACTGTATATTAATTGTGTATTATTTTTATAGTTAGCTCTATGTTCTGATTTGGCTTTTTTTTTTTTTTTTTTGAAGGAATTTTAGGAGAAACGTCTTGGACAAAAGCAAATCAAAGTCTGAACAACTCAGGATAGTATTTTAATAGAATCCATATTCATGGCATATAAAAAAGAAACTGACCGAATCACAATTCAGACGACATCATTTTGAGTAAGCCAGTTAGTATTAAAGAAAGAGAAAAAGCTTGCTGTAAAAAGCATGTTTACTGAAAAGTGGCACTCGGTTTGGATAACTGCCACATTCTGGATGTTCCTCTTCGCTGAGCTGTAAGGGGGTTTGGCAACATGCTACTGAACTTCAGTTTCAGCACTAATGATGTCAGATCTCACATACTTAAAGCTACATAACAGCAGGTGTTTGGTCTTACCTTGTCATACTGTAACCACTGCGTGACAGCCTGGTCCAGGCGACTGTCTCCTGTGCTTTCAAGGCCGTTCTCCATGTTTATCTACTTCGGAACTAAATTGTATTTCAAACAATTAAGAGATTCAACTTATGCTCTATAACACTGGCATATGAATGCTGTCGGTCGCTCTGGGTGAATTTAACGATAGCGGTACCAGTGACTAATGCTGTCGGATTATAAATAATGTGTAGTAGGCTATGTCCGTATTGCTGAGTGAATGAAACGAAGTGGGCGGGGTTTTCGAAGGGGCGCGACACGTGATTCGCTCATGCCATTGCATAGCCTATCCGCTCATTGGTGGAGCACTATTACCAACCTGTCCCTCAAGTTTGGTGCTCACTGCCTTTTTTTACAGGGTGGAGCTTACGCCTAGCTCCTCCTCGTTTGAGCGCTCCAGCATGCCATTGTCGACCATATGGCAGCTAAAAATGTTATCTGATCTAATTAAAAAAATACAAGACAAACTAAAATATTTTCTCAATAAAATACAATTGTTAACTTTTTCATATAAAATAATGGCATTTTTTAATAATTAAAAATAAACGCGTTTGAGTTTGAGTTGAATTTGACAACAAACACACCGGAAAACACAGCTATACAGCATAGTTCAAAACATAATAATAATTAATAATTTCTGAACATTGACTCTCAGTCTTTTCTTTCAAATAAAATCCTTGGCTGCAGCATCATCCTGTGAGTTGGGATGAGAATCATGGCAAACCATAGGATTTCTTATTGTATTGTGCTTAATGTTTTTATATTTTGTATTCTGCATGGTTTCTTTTTATGCTTTCTTCTTATATGCTCACTGTTTTACTGTAGCACTTTGGTACAACTCTGTTTTTAAATGTGCTATATGAAGAAATAAATTTAATTAATTAATTAATCAAATAAAATAAAAATACAATTTGACTTGACTTGTGTAGCTACTGCACAAACAATTCAGATAGCAAATCATTGTAATGTGTGTTCACGAAATATTTTAAAGTATACTAACATTATAATAATACAAAAAGTAAGTTAAAATTTCGATCTGACGAAGAGCTTCATTACGTTAATAGCCACTAGGTGGCGCTGGAAGTGAGCAGCCTCTCGAAAATCCTTCAGTGACCCGTTCCATTTTAACTTTTATTCCTTAAAACTCCTATCTAGTTTTGCTACTTATTTGTAATTACTAGTTGGAACAAAAATAGTGTGATTATCGGCTTCCCAAAAGCATCGTAAGCATAAATTGATCGTAGAACATTTGTCACCATGCTTTTAGGAAACGCAGCCCAAGTCAAGTGAGTTTAGTGGAGGTAAAAACTATAAACAGTCAACTTACAATTTCCTTCAAAAAATTAAGGTGTATGCAAAAAAATATCAATAAATGTAGCCTCGAAGACGGCTCATTATTAGCCTAATGGTGAAATAAAACATAGGCTATGTGTAAAACATGTAGGCCTAAGTATTCGTTCATGTTAAAAGCTCGTTCATGTTATTATCCATGAGGATACAAAGCAGTAGCCTACCTGTAAATTATTTCTATAAACTCCAAACTACTGCTATATTATTAGTGACACTGAAGTCGTTTCAATATGAGAAACATCATCAAACTGATGTGCTCCAAGTAATAAAGCTAAATGTAACTGTATAACATTGGTATTTGTTAGAATAGAATTTCAGATTTCAGAATCTATGTGGTAGATTACAGACTGTCAGACTCTAAGTAGGCTGAATACGAAGTATCAAATCAAAATAAGTTTTCTCACTTACAATAAATTTGATAATTTCACAAGCAACATTCAGTGTGTGAAATACGCATGTTTGTTAATTACAGATATTATATATATATATAGAGAGAGAGAGAGAGAGAGAGAGAGAGAGAGAGAGAGAGAGAGAGAGAGAGAGAGAGAGAGAGAGAGAGAGAGAGAGAGAGAGAGAGAGAGATGAAATTGAAAGTCAAGTCACCATATAGCGCTTACAATAGGCCTACAGATTGTTTCAAAGCAGTGATTACTTTACAATGATAATAGGAAATTAATGCAACAAGGATTGTTTTGGCTGTGCAGCAGAAGAAAGCCATTGCTTAAGTTTTTGACTGATTCATTTCCGTTGTAAAAATCATTAGGCTAGCTATTAACTTATGGGCTGCTTACACAACACTGATTTCAACTGAAAACAGAAAACTTTTAATGCGTTCTAACTGCATTCTAAATTGCATTCTTTCCATTGATTGTTAGGTCATGCATTGTACATGTGAAGTTCAGCTTTGCAAGGGATGTTTGTTTGTTCATCAGAAAGCTCAGTTTTGCCATAGTTGCTCTTTTTTTAATGGAATACCATTTCATATCAGATACAGCACATGAACCTGAGAATGAAAAGGATGGAAAATGGATTGGCTTCATAAACATACTAAACAATGATTGAATGAAAATCGAATAATGCAGAAAGTATCGCTTTATGTTATTTGTGAAAGCCCTTATGGTCCTTTTGTTCAGTGGAAATATTTATATATAAAAAAAAATTCAACTGCATTTTGGGTTTGTAATGTTTTTGTTCTCTGTGTAAGTGACACTGCTCCACCACTGTCACACACAAAAGCTATGTCTGTCACACCTTTATCCAGCCTGTCTCTTAGTTATCCAACCAGCTACTGCAGGCCAGGCACTGTACTGTGTGTCAGCACCGCTTACAGTGGCAGAATACAAACTCAAACACCCTCTCGCTTTCAACTGCTTTTTTCGAACACGTCTGGGACGACACCATGTTTGGCACTGCAAGGATGATCATCTGTCCTTCCTGTCCCAGCTGTCCACATCTGCAGTGCTCATGCCTCCCTGTAGCAGGTCTATGGCATGTTTAACGCAGGTGATCAGGGACCCTGGGCATCTTTCTCCTAGTGTTTTTCAGTCAATAGAAAGATCTCTTTAGTTATTGTAATTGTGACCATAATTGTCTACCACCTTTAAACTAGTGGCTTAATGACTGATCCACAGCATGTGTAATAATTGTTTAAGGTTCTTTGAAAAAGTTTGTTTAAACTCTTTCCCATGAAGGTCTGCAAAGCTTATTTGGATTTCACAAAATTATCTTAAAAATAAAGTGTCCCGAAAAAGGGATGTTTATTTTTTCCGAGTTATATATATATACATATTAATAGTTCATAATATATTGTTTTCAACTGAACTAAATAAACTATAGTTTAACTTGAATAAACTATACTATTGTTTATAGTATAGTTATTTTAGATGTATAAACTTGAAAAAGAAATATTAATGGTATGAAACCATCTTTAATGAGTAGAAATCCCTATGCCTTTAATGTTCAGTCCTATACTGTAAAAAACTATTATCAATAAAATAAAATAATGAATTCATGTATTGATTTCTGGCCTGCCTTTAGAAAGCTGAATGAAGCAATAACAATGTCAAATTCAGTCAATGTCAAAGTTTTTCTCTGAAATTTTCTGCATCACCCTCTTGCACCCCCTTGCTGTCCTCCAGGGGTCAGAGGACCTTTACAGATTTTTTAGAAACCTCTGAAACCCAGAGTTAAAAGTATATGATGACGTGGGTGGTCAAGGTCACAGTGATGGTGGTCGGATTGAAAGGAACAAGCTTTAACCCTACTGGACTGCAGCATTCTTGTCTTCGGGATGGCGGGTGTTGATCTATGCCCTGGTTTCCCCTTAGATATTACATGTACTTCTGAAGCTTGATCCGTTGTGGTGCACGTACCAGCTTTATCCTGGGGATGGTGCTTCATTATACTTCCCTGAAAGTCGCACAGGCATGGCATCCATGTCCAGTATTTTCTTTACTGTATCTTCCTCATGATAATGACAGTGTCAACCATCTTGCTGGTATCAAACTTGACTTCGCAGATGTTCAGTTGTAATTGTGTTGTGTCTACAAAACAGGATCTGTTTCAAATTAAAGAGAGAGACCAGTGCTGAGGACAGCTGCGAGAAAGGCCGAAAAGTACAACACATGCCTGGCTGACTGATGCACATCTCAAGTTGTTGAATGATTCTGACAGGAAGTGGAGGACAGGTGCATTGTCATCACCTCAGCTGCAACTAACTAAATGCTCAAGAGATGTAATTTACTCTCTGCAAATCTTTTTTTGGGGGGATTTGGAGTAAGCGGGTCAGGAATGCAAGGAAAGAGATTCAAAAGTTTACACAGAACATGTTATTGCATTTAAAAACACGAGATGCAGCGATAAGGGAAATGAGGGAGTGTCTTGAAATTAGAAGTTCTTTAAAGTTCACATGCACAACATGCTAAAAAGGTAACTAGATAGGGAGCAAAGAATATGTTGTGTGAACCGCTGTTGTGCCGACTTCCGACCACTGCCAGTTTATTCCCATACAATGGTGTTCTACACAAAAAATATTCTTTCGCTCTATGGTGCCCATCTTGGTTGTTGGCGCCCTATCCAGGCTGCATATACTCCACATATAGTGAAGGTGTTAATTTAGGATTAGGGGGAGGTTTACAGAAAATACAAGACACTGCACAATAGTATTCGACTGCAGAGGCACCGTGTTGCTGGAGCTTGACGCTGGTTGCATCCAAAATTGCATACACTCGGGAGATATGTTGCTTTTAAATACGGATGTACTTCTATGCAGTTTGAATATAGTCCAGATGTACTACATTTTTTTTTCTCCATGTAGTCATCGGATAAATCCTCTCCCATCATGGCCTTATGGGATAAAGTGTCCATTGAATACACGCTTTAGAATCTCACCAGAACCAGTAGGTACAATGAATTTAGACATACTGCTATATAGCCTGGACGTGTGCATATTCTGATATAGCCACTGCATCTTAATGCTAGCTACACACATAAGTTTATATAGGCTACAGAGAAAATATTTAACAGTGGATCACAAACAAATTCAAATGCTGTGGCCCTCAAAGTTATTAAGCTCTTAAAGATGCAAACAATGAGTTAACGCTCTTGCAAACCTATAGTAGCCCTATGAGATAAAAGGCCTGACAATCCAGAAATGAATAATCCAGGCCAGATTAAATTAACCCAAATTTAAAATGACTAGGTAAAAAAAAAATATATTAAAGTCACACAAAGCAAAACACAGGAATTCATTTTAAAGGTTTATTTCACCAAAGTTCAAAATGAGGGCAGATAAAACTCATTTTCTTACAGATGGATTTACATAGAGCTTTCTGAGAGTTAGACATCCTCAGTGCAAAGTTGACTGCCTCTTCACAAAACACATGATCGTACTGTAGAAATGATTAACATGAAGAGTCAGTCATCCTTCAGTATGGTCTACAGTTAAAACTGTGAATATCCCACTCCAGCCTATGGCTGTAATGACTGGTGGTTGAGAGATGCCATCTGACTAAAGTGATGTGACTAGCCATCTCACGGAGTCCTCTACATCTTGCCCTTGGTGAAGAGCTGTTGATAACTTACGCCTCAGATTTTTTCTCCTGTTCAATGGCTGCAGGAGGGAAAAACAAAAACCCATTGAAGCAAATATATCATGTTTGAGACCAACAAAATAAACTAGCAAGTAGTGGCAAAGAATGTTGCAAACAGAAACAAAAATATTAGAAGGCAACGAGTGCTCTGAAAAACTCAAACTTACTCTCTTTGGTGGGAAGTGTGTTCTTCTCCTGTGTCTCAGTTTTCTTCAGCTTGGTCTTGTCAAACTGAGAGATTTCACTGATATTTGGTTTGTCAGCCATTGTCTTACTTTAGTTTATCTATGGGGAAATAAATGAATAAGGCATGCCATAAACAATTAAGTGCACTTATCCAAGACATAACATATAACAAAATAAAATCCCAAACCTCTCACTTTACTGGAGAAGAACAACAAACAAGGAGATACAAAACAGGGTTCCTGATTTGACTCTTATATTGGATTTAAACAATACAATCTGACTTCCAGATAACTGCGGCTAAATTGAATTAATGTTGCAGGTGCAACTTGTTGACAATTTTGCTCCTTTATTTTCATTGGTTAATTGATTAATTGATTGACAAGTTTTCTCTTTGTCAGTAGCCTAGCCTACACGTTCCCCTAAAAAACACAGATGAAAATAAATATCTTGAATTTATACTATGATAATTGTATTTATCTTTTTGTTAGGCATAAAAAGAAAAAGAAAAAAAATATAACCATGAAAATGTAGGCTATCATTTAATGTATTAATGATGATGCCACATTATCAAGTAGGCCTATTATTCTGCTGTATGTTGTCATATGTCACTGTGTAATTCTGTTCTGGTTGAAATAAAGTTCTTAAAAGGAAAAGACCCAAGCACACAGGCACAGCTAATCTCAGACAAGGCGTCGATGGCATTGGCAGGCACCGCAGATCTCAGATCAGCACATAAAGCGATGGCATTATCGAGCCAATCGGAGCGTGAGATGCGCGCGACCGTGATGTGATGTGGGCGACGGAAGCGCGTGTATTTGCACGAATGACATGAGGCGATGTTTCTATCTTTATAAAATAGACACTTAATCATCAGATTGTCTATATCACGGATATTTTGTCATCTCTTCACCCAGAGGTCATTCATAGCGGGTAAAACAATAATAATATGATCAAATGCTGCCTATTTGAACGTGATGTGGTGTTTTTGGATGATGTAGCTTATTGTCAACGACTGAGGATGCTTCATTATCTTTATATTCCGAAATAATCTTCCTACTTTATGAAATGATCTTATATCTGTTCTGCATCGCTGAAATGAACGGGGGCGGATAACGTTACTTTAATTTGTCTTTCTTTGTCATAAAAACGTTACAGTTCACTCCTTGAATTTCCATGACAACCATAATTTCTGCCAAAATGCCATAGTTTCTAAACAAAACTGCAGTGACTTAGTATATTAGTCACCGATGCATCAAAAGAAAAATAATAAACCAAAATGGCAGAGATATTATGAAAGCTGTTGGAATGTAACCCCATATTCATTTATTCTGATTTACAGTAACACAGCAATACTTGTACTATGGTGTTGTGATGAAGGCCATGGTAAATTTTAATCTGTAGGCCTACACCTATGTAAATGTCTACTGGTTTCCTCTTTCTCTCTAAAAATGTGGAATTAAATGTTATACTGGATTTGCTGTGTTTAATTTTAGACTATAACCATTGAGTGAATGACCTGGATGAAAAAGCTCTTATATTAAAATCAACTAGGGATCTAGGGCCCGTACCATGATGGTAGTTGAACAAACTCAGGCTTACAGGATTAGTTTCGAGTTGACCAAAGCAATCCAACCAGGCTTTGTTGGTACCATGATGCTGATCATCAACTTTCTCTGTCAATTCAGGATTTGATCCTGAGTTTAGGTGTGACATCAGTAGCGAACAGCCAATCACATGCTGAGAAAGAGTGAAACTGCGATTCATTTCTCGCAAGAGAAGCATGCAGCGCAATTCACTTATTAAATAAAAGTATTAAGAATTTAAACAAATTTACACAAACATAAACTAATAGGCTAATAATTAATAAACTATGTGTGCTCGATTAAGGGTATAATAATTACATAAATAATATCTAAATCATACAACATTTTTATTCTAAATAAGCATTAGTAAAAGCCAGACAATTTTGTCTTTAAAAATAATTTGCTATATAGTGACCTTTAATTTGGAGAAACAGGTGGAGTGACTATCAGACATGTCACTTTGCTCACAGCTGATTGGTCCAAGTTCGGTTTGCAACCTCTTACCTGGAACATAACCTGCCCCGGACCAGGGGTGCGTTTCCCGAAATCAAAGTTGCTAACCTGTTAGCAACTTAGTTGGTTGGCAATGGGAAATTGCATTGCAACCAACAAAGTTGCTAACTTAGTTAGTAACTATGGTTTTGGGAAACGCACCCCAGGTTAGCCGTGGAGCATAAGTTACTATGGTGATGAACACTGCTAAAAGCCAAACCACTTTCATGGTGCCTAAAACCCAGGGTTGGCGCAAACTAAACTGAAACATACTTGACTAGCCACCTAAACCGGCTTCATGGTGGCCCCTGATGGCGGTATTACATCAACATACTAGTACAGGTTGTCGAGGGCTGGAGCCCATTAGGGGGCCTCAGCAAGCTTCCAAAGGGGCTTATAAATTAAGCCATGAGCCAAATAAATTAAGTGTACGTAAAGCACTAAACATACATTTATTTTATTTTTGTATGTTTATTTATAAATTCTCTACTTTATTTTTTTGAAGGATGTTTACTTATATTTCAAATACACTTTGAGAGTCAGAAATATACACAACCGTTCAAAAGTTTGGGGTCAATACGATTTTTTTAATGTTTTTGAAAGAAGTCTTTTATATGCTCGTATGGCTGAATTTATCTGACCAAAAATACAACAATAACAGTAATACTGTGAAATAGGTTATTTTGTGTTCACTGTCACTTTTGATCAATTGAGTGCATTGCAGAATAAAAGTATTAATTTCCTTTTTTAAAACAAACCAAGGCAAAACCTGAGGCAAAAAGGTCTATGTAAGATAAAAAGTAAAACGGGGTCAAATGATGAAGAATAATCCTCAGCTTATCTTTAAGGCATATAAATCATATTTTGTTTTTCTTACTGTATAGTCAGCTTATGTCCTTTCATATGCTCACAATACAGACATGCAAGCACACAATTTGGTAATAAATCTCCAATGTGTGAAATATAAGATGAAGGAATGGCTTGAATTTTATCAAATATTTGTATGCATTTTATATTTTTTTCATATGCATTATTGTATTGAAATTCATAGCTCATGCAATGCAACATAGTGTTTAAATTGTTACTTTTATGTAGGAAGAAATATAGTTGGTTTACCAATTTTGATGACTAATTTTTTTCTTTCTTCCCCCCCTCAGAAGCACATTATAGTTTATGCATCAGATGATGTCATATCTGATCCTCATTTTCAACCTTTGATTGGGTATCAACGTGGACCATGGCCTCCACCGACCAAGACCAGGAGTCACAGCAGAATCAGAACCACTACTTGTGTGGTTCTGTAGCGGCGTTCGCCAACATCGTCATCACGTTTCCCATACACAAGGCGCTGTTCCGCCAGCAGTTGTTCGGAGTGCCGGCATGGGAAGCTGTGCGACAGCTCCAGAGGGACGGTTTGCACACGCTCTACCGAGGCATCCTCCCGCCGTTACTCCAGAAAAGCAGCACTATTGCAATTATGTTTGGACTCTATGAGGACTTCTCCAGGTTGCTGCGGCTAAACGCTCCTCATGCCCCCATCCTGTTAACGGACAGTATTGCAGCAGTCTTGGCGGGAACCGCTGAAGCAGTCTTGACGCCAGTCGAGAGGGTCCAAACTTTACTGCAGGATCCACGTCATCATGGAAACTTTCAGAACACTGCACATATTTTTCGTGCTTTGCTTCAGCAACATGGAATCCGAGAACTTTACCGTGGCCTTGTCCCGATCCTACTCAGAAATGGCCCTAGCAATGTTTTTTTCTTCGGTTTGCGTGGACCAATTAAGGAACTGCTCCCCGAGGCCGAGTCAAAGGCAGGACATTTGGTTAATGACTTTGTATGTGTAGGGATTCTGGGAGCGGCTCTCGGGGTGTTTTTTTACCCTCTGAATGTAGTTAAGTCTCACGCACAAGTAAAGATTGGAGGGGAGTTTCAGTCCTGCAGGGTGATATTGGCGACTGTTTTGAGAGAGAGGGATGGGAAGGTGAGCCGTCTGTTCCGAGGTGTGCATTTGAACTTCCAGAGATCTGTTTTCTCATGGGGAATCATAAATGCTGCATATGAACTATTATTGAAAATGGTCTGATTGAGGGGAGAAAGAACAAAGGGGGAACTAAAGTGAAAAGCATCCACAAGACCGAGAAAGGAGTGAAAATTAGTCTTCCTTACTCCATTTCTGCTGCTAAAAACATATTGTGCAATAATAGACAATATGTTAAAGGTATATTATGCTATATTAAAGGGATAGTTCACCCAAGAAATTAAAATTCTGTTTTCATTTTATTCATCCTCATGTCATTCCAAACCTGTATGAACCTAAGGCTAACTGAAAGGGAATTTTTTTATTTTGATCATTTTTAGCTATATATTTTTTAATTAAAAGAGTCTCATGCACACAAAAGCTGCGTTTATTTGATAAAAAAAATAGTAAAAACAGTAATATTGTGAAATATTATTACAATTTGAAATACAATTTAAAATTTATTTTTTAAGCTGACTTTTCAACAGTCATTACTCCAGTCTTCACTGCCTTCATTAATCATTCTAATATGCTGATTTGATGCTCAAGAAATATTTCTTATTATTATCAATGTTGAAAAAAGTTTTTTTGAAAATGTGTTGATTAAACCATGATTAAAAAAAATGCAGGATTCTTTGGTAGATATGAAGTTCAAAACAACAGAATTTATTTGAAATAAAAAATCTTTTGTAACAATATACATGCATTTACTGTCCCTTTTAGCATCCTTGCTAAATAAAAATATAAATTTTCTTTTTTTTTTTAAACCTTTAACTTTCGATTAGTGGCGAATGTCATTTAAAAAAGTCCACAAAAAAGTGTTTTTTCGTTATTTCTAATCAGGCAGTACCTATAAAAGTTGTCTTAGGCAATGGAATGGTTTTATTGAGGAAAGAGAAATAGAATTTCACCTCAGAAGGAACTTGCATGACATCGAACGACACATAAACGAATCAGACTGATTTGGTGAACTGGATCAACAATTAATTGACAGACTTAAAAGAACAGCTCATTCATGAACCAAACATCTGTTTCATGAGTGCTCATAAAATGGTGGAAATTCAGTGAATAATGTATTTTATAATACTTTTATATTGATTTTTTCTGTTTGTTTTTGTTTTCATTTTGGACCTTGACAGCCCAATCTTAATTCACTTTCATTATATTGAAAAGAGTGGCCAGAATTCATCTTTTGCCTCATCCAGTTTTATGACTTGAGTAAAGACCAGATTGGAACAAACATGAGAAGGAGTGAGTGTGAGAGAGAAATTGTTGACCTCAACTCACTCAGATTCTCCTGTGATAAGCTCCCAGCATTCTTTTTTCTAAACTGACTGTACTGTGGTCTCTTAACCACAAAGTATTCAAATCACTGTCATTACCAGGGTGGGAATGAGGGCATTTTTTTGCCGCCAGCTTTATATATAGTTTTGCTGAGTTAGCTTTGGTGACGCCAAATGCTGTCGACTTGTCACCAAGTCAGTTTAGTGTTTGTGGTCGCTGTAGCTTTCATGTGGTAACATAATCATCCCATCTGAGCCAGTATTCTTCATGCTTTTAGCGTCCATTGAAACTATAATGGGTTATTTCAATGACATAAGCAATGATTTGGCCATGTTTGTTGGTTTGTGTTCCTTAATGCACTAAAAGCTTCTTTGAATCACTCCCAAATCTATTTGGATTTTAAGAAGGTAAGACCACAAACCCCAGTTGACAATGGCAAAGTGCTATGGTGCAATTTAGATGAAATTGGCTGTGCTGTAAATGCAATTCGGTGCAGTTTTGTTCAGTTTAAGATTCGCCTCTTAGTTTTCACACACTATGTTGTCAATCTGTCATCAGTTCTGGTGTAAACAGCAGTGTAAATGGCTTGGTTTTGTAAAGGTGCCAGTTGCAGTAGATTTTGTGCAATATTCACTTCCATTTACACTACTGTTCTAAAGTTTGGGGTCATTAAATTTTTTTAATACATTTTTGTTAGAAGTCTCATATTCTCACCTGCATTTATTTGATCATAAATAAAAACAGTACTTTTGTGAAAAAGAAGAGTTAAAATAACTCTTCTGTTTTAATATTTTTTAATATATTAAAATTTGTAGTTTATTCCTGTGATGACAACGCTGAATTTTCAGCAGCCATTACTCTGTGTTTTCAGTGTCACACAATCCATCACAAATCATTCTAATATGCTGATTTGGTGCTGATGATAACATTTCTCATTATCATCAATGTTGAAAACAGTTGTGCTGCATACTATTAAAAACATATGAAATGCAAACTCCTGCAGTCACTTACTTATGACTGTAACTTTCAGCCAGGAGAAGATGTCATCAGGCGGCATCCAACTTTCTTTGGACGTTTCAATCGGCAGTTGCCAGTCACTGCCCATCTTCTCCTGGCTTCCAGATCAACTCTTCCCGCCCATTCCAAAGCCAAAAAGAGGATCTTTCTGCTGCCTCCCCCAACCCATGTGTAGCTGTCTTCATCTCCCTTTTCTGCTATTCCCAAAGCTTTGAGTATCTTTCACACAGATTATGCAGGGAAAACCCTGCAACCAACCTCAATTTGAAATAGCCAGGCCTCCTCCTTTTGTCCGTGCATTGCTGGACCCGGTCCTGATACTTGGTTGCTTTCCTCCTCGCATCCATCTTCCCATGGGATTGTCTGCTAAATCATTATGATCCTCCTTTCCTCCTCAGACCAGATGGCTATGTCTGGCCTTAGGGATGTTTGGACGATCAGGGGAAATATAGTTTCCTTCCCAGGTCCACCCTCATCTCCCATGATTGTGTTTCCTGCATAATGCTCTTGGTCTTTTTGGAGGAGTGTGACTTATCTCCCTCCCTGATGAACTGGATAGATGGCACTGGTGCTTTTTCCATCTCCCCTGCTCCAAGATGTCAGACAGTGCATTATCCTGATTCCATTCCAAGTGCAGCTTTACATCCTGCCAGAATGTGCGCCAATGTGCTTTTCCCTCCACATAACACACTGTGCCCTCCCTCATTCCCCACCTGTACCAGTTTGCTGGCGATGGAAGAGTATCAAACACTGATAGGAGCAGGAAAGACATGATCTTCTGCTTTGGCAGGTCCCACTTTGTCCAGGGTCCTTGTACTCGCCAGTTCCACTGCCCTAGCCCTTTGCCCTTCCTCCAGGTATCAAACCTTGGCTTGGATAATTTCTCGCCTCTGCATTAGGTCCGACTTCCCCATTGCCGGAAATGGGTAGTTCTGAGTCCTTGACTTCCCCCATGCACTACCTCCCAATGATGTCCTTCAACTTTAGCCTTCTTTCTGCCTGTGCCACTGCTTCATCTGCTACCCACTTTTGTCTTGATTTTGTGGTGATGTCTGCACCTCTGATCTTTCATCGCCGGAATCTCTGTACATCAGCACAGCCCTTCACTTTGCCACTTTGAACTCAACCACTGTCGAGGTCTGATGTAAAGCTCTACTGACGTGAAACTTGGTGGTATTCCGAGCCAGCTGCAAGGTGTTTATTCACTCGCCTCTTAAAGGTGAACTAAGTAACTTTTTTACCTTAACCGAACAGCTTTGGAATCATTGTAATGTTTATATTACTGATTTCGTGTTGAATGGTGGTCGTCTCGCACCCCCCTGGTGCCTGTGAGCCGCAAAACCACCCTTGCAACTTTGGGCCGGCGGGCCGCCGCCCTCAGTGTTAGGAAGTATCGTGTGATATCAGGTCTCGCGAGGTAACAAATTGCTTTAAGGCAAAAAACAGATCTGATAAAATTCTGATAAAATGAGCATCAAACAGAAATAACCCGGCGCCGTATACATGTGGTGTTGGGCGCGTGCAGCTCTTAAAGGGGCCATACCTTATTTCCACTCGTTACAGCGTCCATCCTACTGAACAGGTACCGGTGTACAGGGGGAGGGGATCCGGCCGTGAGTGCGAGCCATCTCTGCGTGAGTGCTATTCACGACAGTACAAGTACTCCACAGCGACTCTAGGGGTCCCTGTTTGACAAAAATGTAATTCCTACCTAGTGCTGCTTTAAGTCCTTCTACTAATGTCATGAGAACTTCATAAATTGTCAGTAGTCACATAAGTCTTGGTAGCAGACCATGCTGAAAGAACGAGGCCTTGATCTTGCCTGGTCTTTCTCAACCATTCTTCCGCATGTCTCTCTGTCCATATGCTGCTTTTGTCATTAAAAGAGGTCTCATACCCAGGGCCGGTTCTAGACATTTGGAGGCCCTAGGCAATATTCATGTTGGAGGCCCCCCCATCCCCAATAAAAAACTCTTAAAACATATATGATTCCTAACCTTTTAATTTATACAACATTTAATTTTAAATGTTTTTACTTACACAGTACATACGTTTGGACACATTACTATTTTTAATGTTTTTGAAAGAAGTCTCTTGTGCTCATCAAGCCTGGATTTATTTGATCAAAAATACAGAAAAATAATATATAGTGAAATATTATTAAAATTTAAAATAATGGTTTTCCTATTTTACTATACTTTAAAATATATTTCTGTGATGCAAAGCTGAATTTAGTGTCATGTGATCCTTCAGAAAACTTTATAATATTCAGATTTATTATCAAATGTTAGAAATGGTGCTTAATATTTATTTTATAACCTGTGATACTTTTTTTCAGGGTTTTTTTTTATTATTAAAAAGTGTTTTTTTTTTTTGTGTTTTTTTTTAGTCTTCACTATCACTTTTTATATATTTAACACATCCTTGCTGAATATTCCTGTTTTTTTTTTTGTATTTTTGATCAAATAAATGCAGGCTTGTAGAGCATAATAAAAAACTTATTTCAAAAACATTAAAAATAGTAATGGGTCCAGACTTTTTACCAGTAGGCTACTGTATGTACATATTAATCAAACTTCATCTAAGGTTATCTCTTTTTTGTTTAATGAAGATGTTATTGTTATTGTTATTTTGCTGTTTTATTCAATTTATTCACAGTTCCAGAATACCACTTCAGTGATATATGCTTTTATCATTTTTTTCATAGCTGGTATGGCCAGGATTTTCCCCTCCCATTTAATCAATATTGACTGCAGATATTGTCATATTATTAATATACACTCACCGGCC